CCCCCCCCCCCCTCCCTCCCTCCCTCCCTCCCTCCCTCCCTCCCTCCCTCCCTCCCTCCCTCACCCTCCCCTCCCTCCCACCCTACCCACCCACGCAGTCTTTCACCTGCAGCTGGCCGGCCGGTAGGTTGATGTCAGTGATCATCTCCGTGCAGGGATGCTCCACCTGCAGGCGCGGGTTCAGCTCGAGGAAGTAGAAGTGGCCGTGCTCGTCGAACAGATACTCGACGGTGCCGGCACTCACGTAGCCCACCATCTTGGCCAGTCGCACGGCGGCCTGGCGGGTGGGACGGCGGCCGGTCAGCCACCCGCCCCAGCGCCGCTTGCCCAGGGCGTCGATTATCCACGCCAGCCGGCGTATGGGCGCCACGCACAATACACGTCCCATTCATACAGACCTGCTGGGGCTGTAGGACATGGTTGGTTAGGTGTAAAGCATCAATCAACGACGCGTAATCTACGGAGCCAATAAAGCAGTGGAATGCGACAGAAGTCTGCGAGTGCGACAGCGACCGCATATCCAGCATAACCGCCGCATCACCAATGCTTCATCGACAACCTCCAACATCCCCTAGCAATGCTCATGACGACTGACGGCGGTTGCACGCGTCCTGACCACGGCAGATAGCATCACGACAGACCACCGCCACCACCACCCAGCCCGCAAGCGCTCCACTGTCACGGACGGCACCAGCAGGCGCTGCCGCCACCACCCGACCTGCTCCATGCGCTCGAACGTCCGGTTCGGCGATGATACAGGGCGCCTCCTCAATGATCTTCTGGTGTCGCCGCTGGATGGAGCAGTCGCGGCCGAACAGCGAGATAGCCGTGCCGTACTGGTCCGCCAGCAGCTGCACCTCCAGGTGGCGCGCGCGCGTCGCCATCTTCATCACGAAAATCGGAGACCCCGGCACCTCCGTGCGCACCTGTCGCACACGAGATGCTGGGAGCTTGGTACGTGACACGGGAATGTTAACAGACGACCTCCAGCCCCCGCCAGCTGTGCATTCCAACAGCCAAGCAGTCACTACATACTAAGACAACACTTATGACCCCTGCTCGCGCACACGTTCGTTAATACGCCAATGACGATTACCACCACGCACCGGCAATGCCATCCGCATGACGCAGGCCGCCGCGTACATCGTCACACCAATCGCCCCCTTACGGCCGCCCCCTCGGACCACGGCCGCCACCCACCTGGCGGTACTGGTTGAAGAACTGGTCCTCGGACTCCACCTTACGGATACCCTTGCCGCCGCCGCCCTCGGACGCCTTGATCATGACCGGAAAACCGATGCGACGGGCGGCCTCGAGGCCCTGATCCTCGCTGGCCACGCAGCCGGCCTTGTAGAGCTCGGACGAGATGCGCAGCGAGCCGTGGCCTTCGTCTTCTCGCTCCACTGCGCCTTCAGACCTGCCCGAGTGCCAGCGCGCGGATGAGAGGCGGGCCTGCGCTATCTGGCCATTTGGGATCTGGGGAAATTATGCTGCACGTAAAAACGCACAGTACGCACTCTCAGAACAACGCCATGCTAGGCCGGAGAACGCGGTCATAAGCAATGGTACACATATTTGTCTATGTTTACGTCAACAAGTATTCGCCTGAGCCGGCCTATGGAATGCGGGAACGTCTCCGAAGATCAGAAAACTCTCACCGGAGCCGGACCAGGGCATCGTCGGAATGTCGGCCGTCTGCGCCACGATGCTGGAGGCGATCTTGTCACCCAGCGCCCACATGGCCTTCTCCGGCGGCCCGATGAAAACGATGTTGTTCTTGTGCAGCAGCTCGGGCAGCTTCGGGTTCTCCGAGGCGTGGCCCCAGCCGGCCCACACCGCCTGCACCGACATCCGCTTGGCGATGTCGACGATCAACTCGACGTTGGCGTAGTTGTTATGTTGGTGCCCCCCGGCACCGGCACGTAGTGGTCGGCCATGCGGACTGTACTCAGCGTTGGCTGCCGGGGTCGGACCGGTCAGAGGTCAGGCCCGCTCAGCACGGCCGGAGCCCGGCGCCCGGCACGGGAGCGCCGTCGGCACGCGGCGCGAGGGAGCCCTGTCACGTCCGCCGGTACTAGACCGACCAGGCGCACGGACCTGCCGAGGCAGCGGAGGTGGCGGGCCAGCCACGTGCAGACCACGTGCGCTGGCGATGGCTCGGGGCGCTACCCCCACCCGATGCATCATCCACAAAATCCACAATAACGGATTCCACACCTACATCTACAATAACGGATTTGGGGGCGTGACGGTCTCAGCGAGTTGGCACACCCCAACCTTGACATTCAAGCTGCTGGTGTCGGGCATACGCTATCAGGAATCCGCTACGCACCCGGCTCGCACTATGCAAAGCTCCATATGTTGCGGCAATCAGAATAAAAAACGGATGCAAGCGAGCTAAGCGAGCTTTGCGATACGCTTGGTGCGCATCAACAACACAGGCTGGGCCGTACCGCCGACGGTCCTTGTCACGCCCGTATCAGGGGACTCCGCACGCCGAGTAGACGCTATCTCCAATCCCCACACTGTTGGACAAATACTACAAAGCCGAGCACAGCTGGTGGCCGCGCGCCAAGCAGGACCCTCCCGACCGCGACCTTTCGAAGATAAACCAGCGACGCTGCGCTGATTGTGACGGACCTTTCATGTCTTCAGGCGTCACCATGGCGACGAAGCGGATGACCTTCTCGTTGCGGAACATCTACGTACGCCCAGCGTCGTATGGATCGCATGCACTTGACGGCAGCGATGCCATTGTTGGCGATCAGTATCTGCGGAGCGCGGCACGCGTGACGCTGGCCACTTGAACGACGTAAACGAGTAGGGTTTCGATCAGTACGACATTTCTGGTGGTCCATGCATGTGGTCTGGTGGTCCGGTGGAAGCCGCCGCGATTGCAGCCAAGATGTGTCTTGGTATTCAATGACGACGAAAGGGAAAAAGCATTTCGATAACTTGGTGGTGTCCACCACCTGGTGTCCAAAAGACAGGATTTCCACCATCTTGGATACCATGTATCGATGGTTCCATATTATTGACAGGTATCTTTGTACATATTGCCGTTGTTTTGTGCATAGGGCAGTCACTTTTCCAGGCAAAACATAGCAGTACAGGTTGCCAACGTGAAAATTATAGTAGAGGCGAGGATAGTTTCAGAGGATCCAACAAGTCTCTGATCTACCTGAACCAGCTGATCGCACCCCGATCCACCAAATCCCTGATCCCCCTGACCTGGCCAATCACACCCAGATCCATCAAATCCCTGATCCACCTGACCTGGCCAATCACACCCAGATCCATCAAAATCCCTGATCCACCTGACCTGGCCAATCACACCCAGATCCATCAAATCTCTGATCCACCTGACCTGGCCAATCACACCCAGATCCATCAAATCCCTGATCCACCTGACCTGGCCAATCACACCCTGATCCACCAAATCCCTGATCCACCTGACCTGGCCAATCACACCCAGATCCATCAAATCTCTGATCCACCTGACCTGGCCAATCACACCCAGATCCATCAAATCCCTGATCCACCTGACCTGGCCAATCACACCCTGATCCACCAAATCCCTGATCCACCTGACCTGGCCAATCACACCCAGATGCATCAAATCTCTGACCCAATCAAAATTAGGTGGAGTTTTATGTTTTTACTTCACTTTTGTGTTGTACTCCATACATGATAATTATGGTGGTGTCAGACCACTTACCCTGTTGATAGCTTTGTTGCCTCCCAGCCGTTTTACCAGTTCTTCAGGAGTAGCCACTACTATATGTTGCTTCATTTGGTTGGATGATCTATTGGGCATATCTTCACTTTGTGTGGTTGCCTTTTCACCAGACATTTTGCCTGCCAAAGAAACCAGACATATTATAAACACAGTATCATTACTGACCAGCGCAGGAGTTTGTATCACAACTGTCCTATGAGTCATGTGCAGGACCAAGCTTTATGATATAACACACCACAGTTGATGATCAATCACGGTCATTCACCACATGCCCATCAATCCCAGTCATTGTCTGCAGGCAGCTGGTGCATTTATGGGTGGGAGTATTTCAGTGATTCAGTGATATCTCAGTGATTCATAGATGGTGCATTCACCCTCACAGTTTAGCAGGTGCAAGACACAAGCATGCACACACTAATGCGTGCGTGCGTGCGTGCGTGCGTGCGTGCGTGCGTGTGTGCGTGCGTGTGTGCGTGTGTGCGTGACTGTGTGTGTGTGTGTGTGGTCATGTATTATATATATATATATATATATATATATATATATATATATATATAACTATACAAAACCTTGGGTTACCAACACCTGCAGTCAGTCCTTAAAACATAGGCAAAGTGGGTAAATTTGTGGTTTGTGATCAAGCATGCATGACAGGCTGAACACATCTGCAAATACTCTCAGCATACATTTTCTCCTCCATTCAATGGTTTGGCAGTCTTGTGTCCTACATCATATGGGCTGACTGGACTGGGCCTCAGCACAGTTTTCCTCTTTTGCCCAGGTTTTTCACAATAAGTGAATTTTATGGCTCTGATGTTAATCAAATGAGACCTATTTCTTCCAATCTTAACTGACATAAAAATTTAGCCTGATTTAAATGATTTGCATGTAGATGCATGAATATTGATGCTGCCAAACAATAAAAGCAGTGTGTGTGCTGCTCACAACACTAAGCACCAGCATGTGTGTGTGTGTCATTGGCACTTTACAATGCACTCAGCTGCTGAGATCACCTGCCTCTTGCCCTGACAGGAAGGGCAGGCACTATGAGGAATCAAACCCTGTACCTCTGGTTTCCCAGACACCCAGTGGTTAACACAGACACATAACACAGACATGTTAACCACTACACTACCAGCACCTCACTAACTGAGCACAAGCAAAACATGGTTGGTAGCAAATATATTAGCATCTGAAGAGCATCATGCCCTACCTATGGGGATGACAAATGTCCTCTCATATAAGGGGCCTGCAGTCATGTTTTGTTATATCTGTCCTGTCAACACCCATAAACAAATATACTTTTCAAAAAGTAAGGGACCAGCCCCTCCCTCCCTTGCCCCCCCCCCCCCCCTGCCTCAATCTCTAAGCCCCAGTGGCCATACCACTCAAGTTGGGAGCCTTCCTGGCATTCAAATAAAGCTTTTCTAACTTCTGGACTAGCCAAGTAGATAATTGGATGAACACTGGTAACCAAGAACCAAATGTAGCAATAAAATGCACATGATGATAACTTTTAAATGGTGAACACTAAAGGAATTAAAAATGCTACTTTGGAATGCTCTGAAAAAGGCAGACCAGAATAAAGGCAGACCAACAAATTTAAAAACTTTGCAAGATAACAATGTGTGAGGTAAAGTCATAATGTTGCATACAAAATTGTATACACCATCAGGATGTCTCCAAAGAAAACATATCTTAAAGATTTCATCCAAACCTTTTTAATGGATTGGCTTCATGGATCAAAGCTAAGCAGTGCTTGCTGTATGAGTAATGGCTCCTCACAACTACCCATTTTATTTTGGGTCAACTCAATAAATCTCTAGCAAAAGTTTAGCAACATGTTATGTACTGCAAAGTTTGCCTGCCCTTTGACCAAGACCTTTAGCATGTTCACTGCCAGCTACAAGCAACAAGCCATTCCCGTCATGGGAGAATAGCCCTTCCAGACAATAATATATCACCACTTACCACAGGGGCTTTGTATCACCAAAATTCAATTGATAGTTAACATATCACCACCGATTCAACAACAACCACCCAGCCATCAGGGTTCTCTCCTCTTACTTTGGTACTCAGCAACTCATGCAAGGGTATATTTGCCAAAACAGCTCGGGAGATGGGGAAGGGGGGGGGGGGGGAATGACACTTAGTCATGTGAAAATGACAAACTTATCAAACTTTCATGCAAGGTACAATGTTCACGGATGTAACGCACTTGTGCCACGTATTAAAAAAGGAGGAGACTGATAGCAAACCTTCGAAGGGACAGGGGGCCGTAAACTTATCCATAGGATAAGAAATTGCAACCTTGCACACACGCCCAGCACAAGCTCAGGACACACTTACGATGATTCTAAATGGAATGGGCTGTAATCCGAGCGAACATTAAGTTGGATGTTCCTGGCAACAAAGAGCACCATTCCCCTCGCACCGAACCACTCCAAAAGAGCCGGCTTAATCAACCCCAGCCATCAACTCGCCATACAAACATTGTCAAGGGCAATGTGTCGTCCTTGAAAATCCTGCGGCGCGTTCAGCGCACGTCGCTCGTGAATGGCGATAATGGGGCTATAAAATACTGCAACAGTTAAATACACCTGTGTTCGTCGTTTACCAATGCGTATTCACCCGATTGAAAGTGAAAGGGCAGAAGGCTGGCCAGCATCTAACAGGTTATTGGATAAACTTTGGGAGAAGTGCATGAGTAAAGCATTCTTTACGTAATGTCAGCTGCTCATATGAGCAACACCGTGCCGCCTTGAGCGGTGAGCCAGCGGGTGATACCGTTTGGCAAACCGCATTAGACTTGGAAGGCCTGTTTAAGGAGACCACATTGTTTCAGCTTCTCGTGTGTGCAAAGGGAGGAAACCCATTTGTGGACCAGTCCATCACAAACCAAAGTCATAGATCTCAAAGAATTGCAGTTGCTGGTGCTCCATAAAAGGGGCAACGTCCGTCCGTGACGACGTCCGTCGCGTTCATGAAACTTTCCCAGAATGCAGAGCCTACGCACTGTAAAAAGCAAACGGGTGGGTCCCGTATGGGTAAAACTTATGGGGAATGGGTAACTGGTGGGTGTGGGCTAGAGGGACTTCACGGGTTGGGTAAATTCATAGATGCACGCACGCATAGATGTAAACCCGGCCATGTGATGTATTTTATGCATCATATGATTGCGGTTCCGGATAAAAAAAATCCCCGATTGGGGATATCGAGGCCCTTTGGTTAGATTTAAAGACCTTCGTGAATCGGAAGCGTTCTGTTTTGGATTAAGAAACTTCTCTGTGCATTAGGAGGCCCTTGTCTGCAATAGTAGACCCTATTTTAGGTTATCGAGACCCTTGTCTGAATAATCAAAAGGCCTCCATTCTGGTACTATATTGGTTTTATTTTGTTTTTTTTGCTTGTCCTTGATGCCACTCCCCTTGAATACGACACTGTTCTGGAGGCGACCTTGTGTGGAGGCCTCATTTCGCCCAGGAGCCCCCCCCCCCGAAAAATATTACCCTCCTCGCCCCCAAATCAAAATCCGTGGCGCCACCACTGACCGTGTGTGCATCAAAAGAGACAGCTTCATTTAGTCTATAAAACCATACTATGCGATTGCAACCATTTTGTACTACATCCGCGAAAAGCGATCCCGTAGATGTGCCACTCGATGCAATTCGGAATAGGGCGCAAAACCGCGGAGCTGTTGGGGTTTATTGGCGTTTTAGGGCGCGTCGACCCCAGTGGTCATTTTGCGCCCAATTGCGGAGCTGTCGCGAGCCCGCAATTGGCGCAATCAATGGGCGTTGCGATCAATTCTCAATCCTGTCAATTTTGAAAGTGAAGGGCTTAAGGCAAACGTCCTGTGACCTATCATAGCCTGACCCAACTTATCTTGTAGAAATGTAGGTCTTGCTAGTTGTCAAATGTTGAAGTGATAGAGAAGCCCAGTGTCTACATAATGACTTTTTCATCCACACACGCATGAGGCCGTCATTTCGGAAGATATGCAAATTTTACAACACTTCAACCGACCTAAAAGGCCAGCCAGCCCTTGGGTATGTCAGTGAAACTTACATAAAATGAAGGCTACTAGATGTAGATGCCACTATCCACATGACGGTAACACCTACATACCCATACAGCGGGTCAGCACGTGCTTAGAAGCAAACTTGTCCGATTTGAGCCTTTTTTTAGGCAAAAATTGCAGTTTTGAGCTGAATATGAGGCCCTAGAATAATTGTATTGTACATCTAAGGGACCAAGGGTGTCAGAAAGGTTATTAGGATCGGAAGTCTGGGCCTCCTTAAACGAAATTGGACCTCCTGATTTAGAGCATGGGCTTCTTAATTTATAAAGGTGGTCGCATGGTCCAGAAAATGGGTCCATTGCTGCAGAAAAGTCCTCTGAGCCCAATTTGGTGTCATCTAGCTCAGCTATAAGGGTTCTCATTATTTGAATTTATGTAATCCATAGGAGCCTTAGAGTCATAATCCATAGGAATATGCCTCGTCGGGGGATGATGAGCATCGCGCCGCCGAAGGATTCCGAGCCCAGTTCCAGCCAGCCGGCAGATTTCGCTAAGCATCCAGTCGGGCCGGTCCGGGCGGAGCCGGTCCACCCCATGGCGAAAGGCCGACTGACGGGCTGCATTGCGCGCGCGTGCGTTGGCTCGCCATTGCGTTGCTCATTACAAGGTAGCGGAAGCGGGTTTTGTCATCAAGTTTTCACATGCATTAGTACGCAAACTAATAAATGAAGGCAGTGCAAGATTACGGTAAGCACGTAAAAAGGGTTGCACGCCTTAACTGTTACAACAAAAACTCTGACCGACACAAGTGCTACATTACTTGTCCTGTCAGCATTTATACACGACATTTGTGCAACGTATGCTGTACAAAATTGTGCTCATCACTCCAACTGCAAACATCTATACAGTATTTACTTATGCGCAACATTACTTTTACTGCAATAACTTGAACACGACATTAATGCCACACGACAAATGTCATACTTTAAAAACTTAAACGCGCCATCACCTTTGCCGTGCTCGTCACTATCTCCATCGGTTAACAACCCGAGCCCCCGTGCACTGCGACACAGGCGTGATCATCCGCACCTCGGGGCCCGCGCTGTCAACCGGCTGGTTGCGGCCGAGTGGCCGGGACTAGCACTGCTGCGGTGGCTGTGTTGGTCATACGTGAAACGTCGGTGCCGGCATCAAGGTGATGCCGACCCGGACTGACAGGAAGGGAAGCGCGTCCAGAGAGGAACAGATCACGCAGATCGAGAAATACTCTGTTGTCTGTACCTCTACGGCAAAAACCTATACAGCCATTGCTTACGCACGTCATTAATTCTACTGCAAAGACTTATACGCGCTAGTGACGCTACAGCAGACTGGTGGTCAAGTCTTTGATACAAATCTCATGATTGGCTAACGCTCTTTTGCAGCATGAATTTTATTCGTTTAGTTCTTGTGTCGTGTGTTTTTTTAATAGAACAATTGTCGCGTATAAGTGAAAACTGTAAGGCTCACGTCTTGTCAGGCTAGTCTTTAAAACTATTTCTATGTGGTTTCCCGACTTCCAGGCATGTAGCTGACAAAGCGATTGCACAGAGACGTGTTTGCGTTTAATTATGTATGGCGTTTGACGTGTACGCTGGCCTCCACGTTCCGCGATCGATTCATCGATGACGCACCAGCACCACGCCAACGTCAGCGGCTGGTCGTAGGAACCTTGCCTCGCCTCGCCTCCCCTCGCCCGCGGCCGTCGCCAGCCGCCTCCCATTCACGCGACTCCCGGGCCACCCTCGTACGAGCGGCATCCACCAATCAGGAGTCGGCTGAGCGGAGGCGCGGCCGCTGCCCACCGCGCCGTCGCCAGCTGACTGCCCGAGGGGACGGCGGGCGGCGGGCGCGTGGCTGTCGTGTCGACAGCCGGGAAAAGGAGTAAGGTACGCATAGCGCGCCCCCATGCGGCGTGCGCCGGGCACCGTAGGACCGCGATGGGGTGCACGTGACCGACAGCTGCGTGTGACGTCACCAGACAGTAGGCGGCAGACGAGACGTATGCTGCCGCCGGGCGCTACAGAGGGATCGCGTTGCCGCAAATTATCCCGCCCTTCGCGAGGAGCGCCACGCGGACAAGTGGTCTGTGGTGGCCATGACCAATGCTCTATCTCTCGCAACGGCTAGTTGACATGCTCGCACACCTGAATAGAGCGGTCATAAACGGCCAGTGAACGAAACCTAATGCGGATCACCCCAATAGGGGTGCCGATAGTCCAATGGTTTAGTCACGCGTCCGCATAACCACCCTGAGAGGCAGGTGACGCCATACAGCCTCAGCAGCTGTGCGTCGTTACGCCCCAATGAAGAGGATCATCCCCTAACGACGCACGTGTCCACGTGCTGACCGGCCTGATGACAACAGCACCGGGCGTGGAACGAGCTGAAGCATGCAAGGCATACAATGCTACCACGCCACACCGTGCGTCTGTGGCACCTTAGGTGGCAGCTTCCACTGACTGAGCGGATTGCTACGGTCGTAAAATCCGTCTGGTTTATACTTTGGCCCCAGAATTATCAGGACGGGTCCCAAAAGCAGGATACGTACGGATCTGAGGCCCTGGTAGAGATTGTCTCTGGTGCACCATTTCGCGTTTTAGTAAGAATAAGGCATTTGCATGTTGTATTAGTTTGCACCAGTGTGCCATTGCGATAATGCGCTTTGAACCATAGCGAAGAGCTCGCCTCTCCTGCGCGGGAAGCACTTCAGTGGACTGCAGAGAAAACAGCGTGACAGTGGGCCGAGACCCGGTCAAAACCGATTTCACATACTTTTCATACAAGTTTTCATGCTCCTCGTGCTCCTAGTCCCACGTGAAAAGTTAATCACGACTTACCGGAACGGCTTAGTTCCAGGTAAGCCCTTCACGCGGATACCGGCTCACAGTTCATAGGATAGGCCATGGGCTTTGGACCGGAGCAGGACAGAACTAGGTGGCACATTTTTTTGCATGGTTTTGCTTCGCTTAAAAATTGTACTGCGATTTCCTATATGTAATAAATATATTTATAAGATAAATAACATTTTATCATGATGTCAATAGCTACGATGCGCAGAAGTTCGCATCAGCATACATTTTTTAAGAAATGTATTCGTGTGCGGAGCTTTGCACTCATATAGTAGCATTGTCGCATTTAAGACATGTGCGGAGCTTCGTATTTCGTATTGTATCCCTTAGCATATCTGTTGGCATAGCAATTTTTGCAGTATTTTCCTCCATCCTACCCCCTGAACTTCGTGTTACGCTCCTTCTCGACAGAACCCTTCATTGTCTGCTTGTATCGCATGATCACCTGCGACATCTAATTGATAGCCGTTCGGACATCCATGTTTGCGAAGGCTATGACCTAATGGTCCCATCCTCACATTCACGTTTGGGAGGGCGGTCAGATAGCACAAAGTTGATTTGTTGCATGAACAAAAGAGCCAGTCACTGCTCGAACGCCGTAGCGC